TCAATAAATTTACATTTATTTATTATGAAAAGCACTTTCAGTGGATTTCGGCATTAGGTGACATTGAAGAGGAATGGCCTTCAGTTTAAATAAATCTCAGGTGACTGTCCTGTTTGGGTCTGAACTAATGCTATGAGCGTGAGCAAGCTAAATGTATGAAGGATACAGTATTTGATTGATATTGTACAGAAATAGGCCCATTCTCAGTTGAGGAACATTTTGGCCAATAAATCATAGTCCTTACTCAGGGCAAGTCTTTAAAATATATAATAAATACTGTCCAAAATAATAAATAATGTCCAAAAAAGAAGTGAAAGGACATCCTTTTTCAGAAAAGGCCTCATATAATATTATAATACCCAGCAGGTGCTGCTTTTCAAGATTGACGTCCAGTGTTATGTTGTAAAAAAGCAGAATAAATATCAGTCCTTACATGAGAGAATTACAGACTCCGCCCGATTGTCTCAGAAGGTCTGAGCTGACCCACTGAGTCACCACAGTTCTGTTTTAATGGCGTGTAGGTGTGTAAAAAGTGTTTACACCACAAAGCTGCCCCCTCCAGACAGCACTCCTGGTACGTTCATGGTATGGTGACAGGTAAACGGAGAACAAACAACTCCCCCACTGAATGCATCAAGCAACAGTGGCGTAAGATTAATGTAGGACAATAATTATGACAACCAGGAAAAATAAGTAGTGAAAGTAACAATCTGTTTGCTTAATGCATTTCAGCTTGTCATTCTTTTGCAATGAAATTAGAAAGAAAGACAAAGCAACGAGTGCTTCACCTAGAAAAATATGCTTCTGGAAAGCACAGAATGAGAACAGGGAGAGCTTTTTGGCTCCAGTGTTTTGATTTTTTTTTTCCCCAAATTGATTGTATATTTTGCAGGCAGACATTTTATTGTGACAGAATGTGAAGGGATTACTCCATACGATGTACATTTACCTTGCCTTTTACATTCAAGACTTCACTCAGTCTGCTACTGCCATGGAGGAATTATCTAGCCACTAACACATCCTGTCGGGGTGATTCAATAGTAATTTTAGATTTCACCTGAACTTAAACATACTGTGGGTCTGAGTGGGAGTCATGACAGCACTAAATTAACCTGGTTAAAATATGATCAGAAAATACTTATTCAAAGGAAGTTATTTCATTGTGTATTTTACCCCTAGTATTATCCTTTCACTCCTGCGCTATTATGAAACACTGAAACTTGCAATTTAGAGGTTCTTAGAATGATAGATTTTATATAAAACAGGTTTATTGTAAGAACCTATTATGGGTTCCAAAGTTTTCTTGAAAATTTAAAGTGTTTTTTTAGATGAAGATGCTACTCTCTATATAATGTGACAACAGAATCAAACAAAAAAAATGCACAATACAAGTCATCAAAGAGAGTATTGAAAATTATTTAAAAATTAAACTTTTTAAAAATGTGAATTGGTGTTCTGTTTTGTACAAGTGGCTAGTTGCAGAACGTAGAACTCTTTAAACTCTTTAAACATATTAAGATTTGAGATAGTAAGAATTCTATTCATTAAATTCCATTTTCAAGTGAATCAAGTTTAGTGTGAGGTTTAGGTTCCAAGATTTCAAACTGCTCAGCATTTTTAGACCATGCCAAAGCCACACCATTACCTTTTTCCTTCTCATTTGTCTTCTTTAGCAATAGTGCGTATGCCCTCACACAATCTGAAATAAGCAAACTACAGAGTGGGAAACATACTCTAAGAGCCTGACTCTTAGCTTTCACTCACAGAAGCAAAAAGCATCTCTCCAGTTGCTTCCACTTATTGATCCGCTCCCATTGTGCTGAAATACTTCCTGAAGTCACTGCAGCCAGGGATTAAACAAAATGACACTTCCTGAAGTCACTGCAGCCAGGGATTAAACAAAATGACACAACCTGTTCAGAAGTCACCATCAAGATCCTTGAAGAGGAGGTGGAATCAGCAATTTCAAACTTTTTTGCTTATTATTTGAGTCCTGCATTCCTATCTAACCCTTGAACTGCTGTTCACAGAGAAATTCAAGTTGGCAGCAATAGAGAAGATCTTTAAAGGTGAGCGTGGTCAACCATTGAAAATTTTGCTGGGGTGTTTTACAGACTCTGTCAGTGACTGCTTCAAAGTAAGGAGGAGATGGTTATTCACTTGTTGCACAAAGAGCAACAGGAAACCAAAACAAAACCTGAATAACGTGTTTTTAAGAAGTTATTCCCAGTATCGATGCCTCAGCCTGTCCAGGCGATGACCCCAGTAAGGTGACTGGTGGCCAGCCAATCCTGTCAGTCCTCTTCTGTTATGGTAGAGGCTGTACCTCGGTGCACTTCACAAACTGTTTTATCCTACACCCAACTAGACAAGTAAAGTGAGGTTATGGGTTCTGCTTTAGAGGTATAAGTGAAAAATAATTTTATTGAAGCCAAAGATCACAAAGTTTTGAAGAGTGGTAGTGGCTGGCACGGCTAAAAAAAGCAAGAACTTCTTGAGTGTACAAGCCTTTTCTTTCCCTGTTTTGAGTTGATCTAACAAAAATACTATATTTCTGTTCAGATCACGTTCTGTCATTGTGAATACAAGCATTTTTATAATTCTGTTTTTGAGAAAAAGTCAATAGAGTGTTTCTGAACATATATTATGAGTATAATATGAGTACTATAAATGAGAGCTAAATCTTTTGGCATAGGGTTGGGAAATAGTGATTTCTTTTTCCACAGTTTCTGAGAGAAGTGGAAAAAAAGGCACTTTTCCCTTGACTTCCTCCCAATATACTGATCTGATTCTCTTTCCTATTAGTGATAGCCTCTTTCTATCACACAGACCAATCTTCCAGTGATTACATACAGTATATTTCACATCTGCTACTGCCACAACAGCTTAAAATGGCATGTGATGGAATGCATGACAAGAGAAATCTGACAGAATCCCTCCATCACTGAAGAGTCGGCCAGGGCACCGAACATGGTCATAGTGAAAATTTTCACAGCCACCAGCTGTAAGTGCAATAATCCGAGAAATGTTTTGCAAACAGCATTAATCCTGGTAGAAATGGATGAATGGACTCTGCTTCTTTGCAGAAGAGTTGAGAAGCAACGCTAAGAGGGAGTCTACTTTCAAGAAGAAATAATGCATGATTAGTTAAAATCACAAAAAAAAAAAAAAAGAGGGATTTGTGTATGTTTTGAAATATCAGAACGTAATATCACAAACAGAAATGACCCTTCAAAGAAATAACAAAGGAATGCGAAAGCACATTGTTCATGGGTGTCTTAATCACCGCACACATTAGAAAAAAAAATTACTTATTCCTACCAACACTTTGATTTGCTGTTCATCCTTATATTCAAAAGCTGTTTCTTAAATGCGTTCATGTATCACTCCTTCTTCTGCAGAAAACACTAGTTTACCAAAAAAAATCCCATTTTATACCAATATCTACAGTCTTTATAGTTAATCCTTACTGTTATCGATCCACAATATGTATTATTGCTTACCCAACATGCAGGCAAGAAAATCCTTGGGAAGAAATGGAACTTTATGGTATTTATTCAAAACCATAAAGAATGGGGGAAAAAATAACTTCATATGATTAACAGGATGATTTCATCCTTCTTGAACTGAAGCAAATTATATAAGATTTGTGCTTTATCTTGTCTCCTAAAATGGGGTATTACTAGGACTAGTTTGACTGTGGCTTCAGTTTTCCTTTTAGGAAAGAAATGAGAGCCCATTATTGAATATTACATTTAAGAAAAAAAAAAAAAAATCTTTTTCAAGTCCATATCTCCATTTTTAATTTGGTGAGAGTTGGACCTAACTTACTACTTACATGCTGGCACAAGTCTGTTGCTGATACTTTTTTTTTTTTCCGGATGGATAACAATGTACAGATTAACTTCATCAAAATAAATCTCTAACTATATTCCTTCTAACAGGAAAAAAACCATTTTTTTTAATCCACTACAATTAATCTTTGATTAAGCATTTTTACCTGTCTTTCCCAGATAGGCATTAAAATGATATTATTTTTCTGTTTTTCTTACTCTAAACTGCATTTAAGCTATACAATATGGTTTCCCTTCATATTTATCTCAGCTTCTCTTTAAGTCATGTAAATTTTGGCTTTTCCCCTACAAAGTTACATTATAATGACATTTAATTCAAGAAAATTGATCTTTCCTTATTACTGCGATGTAACAAAATGCAGCCTTTGGTAACAAACACTTTAATGTCCCATTTACCCATATCCTTTCAGGAGTTTGTCATAGCAACATTCGACATTATTTAACAGCTGATTCATTGCAGGGTAACTACACTTTGAAGAACTGGCACAAATAATTATGACTTGGCAGTGGTGCTGCCCCGATGCTGACCTGACCACTGTAACAGACAACGGGGGTGGCTGAGGGCACCTCTCCAGAAGAGAGTTTTCCATCACCCTGACGCCATTACAAAAACAAGTAGTTCGTAGAGCCTAAACAGATGAATGAAAAAAAAAGGTTTTTCTGGATATCAGCTCTTTCAGCATGTTCTGCACCCCACTTTCTGACCATGTAAGGGCAGAAGAAACTTAAGTCTGTGCACAATATGGAAGCTCATCGCTGTACTTTTCCACAGTGTTTCTGAAACCTGTATTTGTCATGTACAAGGGCTACAGCATTTCTTTCTTCTATGGCTTCAAGCATCTTTAAAGAGAGACACAATCACCTTCCTGCAAGTAGCAAGTCTGTCTTTTCCCCGTTCTATACATGATGTTATAGACAGAGGCATTAGGGTCTTTTCCCTGGCTTGCTTTCCACCGCTCCTTTTTCACCTCACACCAGACTTTAAAATGACTAAAGGAAGAATGAGAGACACACACACCTCCCAGATACTTCTGTGGGAATTTTAAATTTTACTAATACTTCACAAAACAAAACACCAAAAAACCCAACTACCCTACCCACCAACTGCACCACAAGTGACACCGAACACCAGTTAGAGGCCAAAAATAAGTCAGAAGAAGTACTGATTAAATCTTTATTAATAAAAATATCTTAGTATAAAAAAAAATAGAATTGTTCATTCTGTACACTTAGAGAAAGGACAAAGATGAAACTACACAACAGCAGCGAAGAATGAAACATAACAAGTCAGTTCAAAGTGTATCAAGTGTTCAGGAATCTTTAGAGTTATGAAAAACCATGACAGCCATTAACATATAATGAAAAATGTTGGCTACATTCATGTTTGCTATTGTTAGTTCATCCAGTGACAGACAAAGGTCAGGTAGCTTTAGCGACCGTATATCAAGAAGCTGCACAGATAGTTTACAGAAATTATATCATCCAGCCAAACACCTGTTATTTTCTATGACCTCTGATGCATTTCAGTCATACCCAGCAGAATACACAATCTGTTGTACTGCTTTGCTATACTGAAGACCAAATGAAGCTATGTTACTGCATCTTTCAAGAGCATGAATTCTGACAAAGGTAGACTTGGTTAATAACATTGATGTGATTACTTTGAGTTGAGCACTTTGCCAGGTCTAGCACATAACTAAGCTGACAGACAGCAGTGCGTATCGATAGGAGTAGTCACTTGAGAACAAGCAGCATTTTAAGCTACAGCAAAGCAGGTCAGAGTAGTCTAAAACAGAGCCAAGAGTATCAGCTCTGATTAAGGTTGCTCTTCTGCTTTGAAGATGTCAGCGCCCATTGGAATTACTGATTTTTTGTCTATCCCTTCTACTCTGTCCTCAAATACCAACATGCATAGATATGAATGGATGTTGTACCTGGGTATTTGAGGTTGAGATCTATGTACCCTGCTCGAACAAAAAGACCAAACTAATTACTGTTTCTTTGTGTAACTGGGGCTTTCTAAAAGCAAAGCTATTAAGAAGCATTCTTGTAAACTTACTCCCTGTAACTGGTACACAAATACTTAATAGAAAACATGTACCATGTAGCATTCCTACTCTGGACTATATATCTGAATCTTGTTTACCTCCGTGTGACTGCATATAGAGCTGATATCTTAAAGGTAAAACTTACCAGTATCACCTATTGCAAAGTCATTTGATACATAAGCTTCACCTAAACCTACAATATCTTACTTTTACTGTCATTTTTCTCTAACTATCGAAGTTATCAGGACTTTGAATCTGGACAATTTGAGAGACATCTCAAATTATAGCAACTCTGTAATGAACAAGATAGGCCATGGACATGTCCATTAAGTAATACCATTTAAGCTACTGACAAGTATTTTGAAAATAGACTTTTCCGTTCTCCTAAAGGTTTTGTTTTCTTCTTGCAGCTGAACCCAGACGTTAGGAAGATCCCAAGCCTCTTGGAAAAACGAATCTGTACGTAGTATCTCAGTCAGTTAAGCCAGCATGCTGTCCTATTCAACTGTTGGTACTGCAGAAATATATATATATAAAGTTTATGAGTAGATTTATCAGTATATTTTCCTCACAGATATTTGTCTAAATATTTTCAAATGCATTCATATTAGCTTTTTAATATGAAACAAAACAGGTAAATTGCATAAAATGAGTGTGCAAGAGCTATAAGTAGAGGATTAAGTAAATATCACTATAAATGTAGAACAATAATAGTCACAGGCACCTGCTTAATGTGAAGTAGCATGTGAGTTCATTTATTAAAGTGAAAACATGGGAAGCTTCTAAGGCCACAGTATCCTTTAGGTCACCAAAAAAGCACCAAACCCCTGGATCGTTTTAACTGATTACAGTTTTTTAACAATACTAGGTAAATGGATTGAGTATGTTATCTCCATCATTGTAAAAACAAAAAACAGGACTCACCTGCTTGCTGATAGTGTTTTTCTGCCAACAGTTGGTGGACATGGTTCACTATGGAAAAAGCTTTTTATCCACCAACATTTATCAATTAACTCAGGTAAACCTGCCAAAGGAAAAAAAGCCCACACTATTAGTCCCTGGCTGAATAACAAACAGGCAAAACTAGAAAACTTAAAGAAGGTGAATAATACCATGAAATGCTTTGTCCTGGTCTGTAACGTTCACAGCATCCGGACAGCAGGAGGAGCTGGAAGAGACGCTGGATTCCGAGTTCTGTCTTGCTGTTCATGGAAAAGAGAGACACACAGAATGAAAAAACGTGCTTCGAGGGAATACGCTATTTCTCTGCCAAGAATTCTTCAGATCTGCTGCTATCTAAAAGATAAGTTTGTATCTAAGTAAACTTATATACTTTGTATCTAAGTATAACTTCTGTGTTACATACACCATTCTACTACAGTTGTTTATATAGGAACTTTTGTGTAAGTTGATGTCTCAGGCTACTTACTCTTCGCTTAAAAGCGTGCTGAGATCTGTTTGCATAACTTCCACTGAAATCAGTGACAAATCTTATGATCACATGCACGCTGCTATCAAAACGAGTCCATTCTTGAATATTTGAGTCCAAAACAACCTATTTGCTATAGTTTCCACTGTGATACAACTAAATACTACACTCAAACTACAGTGTCCATCCCGTACAGAGGGATCCTAATACACCAGGTGTACTCTCAAACCATTGACTATTTCATATATTTAGAAACAAAAATGTAAGATAATTTTGCGTTCTGTCTAAGCCTGCAAAGTAAATATTAAGTATAGCTAGAAGCCAGAACTTGCTGGGTTAGTGCTTTTTCTATGTTTGATAATGTAAAAGAAAAAAAAAAAAATTACATATTCCTACAATTCTAAATAAGAAAAAGGAAAGTAGACGAATAACCAGAAGCAGATGCTCATTAAAACTGAAGTTCCTTGATGTAATGAAAAACTCTCCAAGCAATTCAAAACTACCAGGCAAAGGCTCCCTTTTGCCTCCAGCTCATCCAGAAATCCACTGCCACACTGACTTTTCCACCAGTGGGAACATCCCGGCCACCGGCTCGGGGGAGGGGAGCTCTGCCTCCCTCATCCAGAGGGGGTCCCCGGCCGGGGGTGGTGGTGAGGGGAGAGAGGGGCAGCTCCCAGACGCCCCGACCCCGAGCACTTACTGCGGTAGTACTGGTTCTTGGCCAGGAGACAACCGACGGAGGGGACGGAGGCCATGGCAGCGGCGCGACGGGGAAAACCGCCTCTCTCCGGGAGGAGCCTGCGAGGGAGAATGGGGCGTTTTGCCGGGGGAAGCAGCGGTGCCCGGCGGAGGAGAGCGACCCGCACCCCCCGGGTACCCCCAACCCACCCCGGCCCTGCCCGCCCCGGCGGCTCACCGGTGTCACCGAGGGAAAGCAGCCGTCGGAAGAGACGGCAGCCAGTGTCGGCAGCACCCCCGGCCGCCCCTATATATGGGCCGCGGCGGCCGGCCCGCCCCGGGGGCGGTGGGGCGGGACGGGACGGGACGGGACGGGAGAGGAGAGAGCCAGCCCCCGGGCACCCTGCCGGCCGGGACAGCCACCCAGTCCCTGGCCTGGTCCCCTCCTCCGTCCCTCTGCCCGGGTGTCATCTCTGAGCGCTTTGCTGGGGTGCACTAAGGGGGGACTAACTGTGTTAGTTAATCTCTGCCCGGTGGGGAAGAGGGAGATGAAGCAGACATTTACTGTTTCAGTAAAAATTTTAACGTTGTTTTTAAATTGGGGCACATTACTCTGCCCCATACGCTAGAGAAAGTGAAGGCGAAGGAACGTTCTCCACTCTCACAGCAGTAAGTGCAGCCTGGGACCCTCTAAAGCTTTGCCAAAGTTAGAACAAAGTGCCAGACAGATCACCAAGTACATTTTTCTCCCACAGATGAAAGCACAACTCTCTTTAAATTGCTGTACTCCTATCTCATGGCAAAACTTCTCCTACAGTGCATCTCCTCACCTTTCGGAACTGCCAACAGAAAAAGTAACAAAGAGTTTGGGCTGTTTGAATTGCTCCTGCTCCACAAGGAAATGTTTTATAATTGCTTTCCATAGCAGGAATTGTGGGTAGGAGAACACAGCCGTGAGTGGTGGGTGATGCCGTGTTACTGCGACGTATCTGCTTGAATAGTGCATCCTATCTCAAATGATAAGGACATAGTTCGTAATAGCTTGTAGCATATTTGTAAGGATACAAAGAGTAGTACAGGGAAACTGCCTGTAAAATAATACTCATGCGGCAGATGTAACAGATAAGCATAGTATATATTCCTGGGCCTTTTTATTGACCTGCCGTCAGAGTCTTGACAACGCGGTGGTTCTTTCCAAGCAAAACTTGAAGGCTTGTGAAATCTCCAAGATTGATGCAGAAAATAGTTTGCAGCTGGGTTGGTACCAGCCACTAGCACGGGTTATCCTGTGTGTTTGTCTTGTTATGTTAAAAAAAGCACTGTAAGAGTAGAAATATTTTACAGATTTTTTTTGATATCTCATTCACAGTGTATGTCCCTACCCACTGTTGCAGCTCCAACGGCATCCTGGCCTGTATCAGGAATAGCGTGGCCAGCAGGAGTAGGGAAGTCATCATGCCTCTGTACTTGGCACTGGTGGGGCCTCTCCTTGAGTGCTGTGTTCAGTTCTGGGCCCCTCACTACAGGAAGGACATTGAGCTGCTGGAGCGTGTCCAGAGGAGAGCCACCAAGCTGGTGAGGGGTCTGGAGAACAAGTCCTATGAGGAGAGGCTGAGGGAACTGGGCATGTTTAGTTTGGAGAAGAGGAGGCTGAGGGGAGACCTCATTGTCCTCTACAACTACCTCAACCAAAGGAGGTTGAGAGAGGTGGGTGTTGGCCTCTTCTCCCAAGGGAATGACAGGAGCAGAGGAAATGGTCTGAAGTTGTGTCAGGGGAGGTTTAGATTAGATATTAGGAAGAATTACTTTACTGAGAGAGTGGTCAGGCACTGGAACAGCCTGCCCAGGGAGGTGGTGGAGTCACCATCCCTGGAGGTATTTAAGAAACGGGTAGACGTGGCACTTCAGGGCATGCTCTAGTGCCCAAGATTGTTGGTTTGTGGGTGGGTGTGATGTGGTGGGGGGTTGTGGTTTTTGTTTTGTTGGTGGTGGTGTGTTTGGGGTTTTTTCTTTGTTTTTTGTTTTTTTGGGTTTTGGGTTTTTTTAAGGTTGGACTCAATGATCTCAGAGGTCCCTTCCAACCATGGTGATTCTATGATTCTGTTTATGGATACCTAAATGTAACTGAACTATTAGCTCATTGCAGCGGACAGTGATTCCTGTCTTAATAATGAATTTCCCTTTTTCTACTTGTTCTATTTGTGGGCAATAAATTTCTGTGCCACCCTACTTGTTTTTATCACCATAAATACCCTCACACTGGGCACTCTTTGAATGGTCAGATCCATTCCTGAACGAAGGGAAGCTTCTCCTTGGAGAGCCCCAGGAAGGGCTCCTCTTGGGCCACGAGGGTGGGCATTGATAGCAGTAGCACTGTGCCCTAGGTGCAGCTGGTAACATTATCCTTTACCATATCTGCTGTTCTCTTTCAGCTTTAAGATTCTTTTTTAATTGACTCATAACTTTATGGAGCCCATGATTTTGTCAGAAAACTGTTTAGATTCTAACAAAGCCATGGTCTAGCCGTTGTATTTGGCAAGAAAGCAGACATAAGTGTTTCTCTTTCAATCTGCACGAATATCCGTCCATGTTGGAGTCATGCCAAGCTACTCCAGAGCTGGGGAACACCAGGTCTGTGAAACTAAATTGCCTCACCGCTGCTTGTGTATTATTTTACTATATCATTTTGTGTACATGGTCATTTACCTGGGGTTTTTTTTTCTGGAGTCCTGTTTCATGCATTGCACTGGAATAGAAATTACTTATTTAGGGAAAAGTTCCACCATTTCTCCCACTCAGTCTGGCATTATGTCCTAGCTATTGTATTTTCTTCAAGTAATGCTCTGAATACAGAACTACAAATTTCACTAGTGTTTTTTCTTCCATGGTTATTTTGACAGCGTGCTTCTGAAATACTAGCACATTTATTTTCAAGCATTGCTACAAAACCAAGGCATACTATTATCTTCAGTTAATAAGTGTGAGTTCTGAGATCCAAAGGAGCTAAGATATAAGAATCCACAAAGCTTAGGAGTCTCATAGGAGAGCAGCCTAGGACTTTATTTTTTTAATAACTATTTAACATCTGTACCACACTTCATTTACCCATTTGTATCTCTCATTCACTTCAGATCCAGATTTAAGTACTCAGCACACTGATAAATCAGATTCTCATTAGACGTTGAAAAAAACTGGTTAGTGGCCACCTATGATAAATGTAACTAACTCACATAGCATCAATTACAAGCTGAGGGGCAAGGTTATAATTTACCTTTCAAGACAGTGTTCAATTGCTTTCACCACTGACCTGTTCTTTTCTCCCTGGAAGCCTTTGCTGCATTCTCTACCCACTTTTTAACTTATGTCACAGACATGGAAGAAGTCCTACCAAATCCATTCTCTAATCTATTTAACTTCACAAGCTCAGTTCATATCCATGCTTCATGCCAAAAGAGGAAATAAATAGTACATACTCCCCAGTTTTATAAAAATGCATTTACAGAAGGAACATTTCCAGCCTTTTGACTGACTGATATTGTGACCTTAACAACAGTGTTCATAACTATAAAATGGACAAAATACAGAATTATATGTCATCTCATGAGTCATGGATACTTATTGAAAGTATATCTTAAATTTAAAAATTAAATCAATATGACCCATTAAATGAATATATCTCCCACCTAATCCTGCCAGTATTACCTGGTATAACCCTTTGTTAAACATTAAAATAAAACGTCTCACTCACAACAACAAAAACAAAAGAACAGTCTATATTGAGCTTCACTTTGAAGCTGACCTGTTAATTATTAGCCAGACAAGGTTTATCTAATAAACTTAGCTACTCTTTCAGTTCTTGGAATACCTGTGAGCATGATGCCAATCTTTTTTGTGTCTTGTTTTGGGTGTTTTGTTCCATGTGCTTTTGTGGCAACTTTTTTACTTTTCCTTGTTACCTAAGCTTGTGGAAGAGTAGTGTGGCACTGGAAATTGTGCAATGTTGCTTCATGGCTGTGTCCTTTGAATGACTGTATGGGTACTCTTGACATTAATGTTCAGAGAGATGTGAAAAATTTCAGTGAAAGCACCTTTCCTATGCAGAAAGGTACATTTTCAGCCCTTGAAGGTCGAGTATTGCCTCCTCCCAAGCTTCTGGAAGAGCAGTTTTTGTACATTTTCATTGCCCAGTCTAACTGCCCATCCACAATTAACTTTTCAATCAAATTTTGTGCAGCAAGTGTAAATCACTCTTAGTTGAAGGGAAATGTGTCTTAACTTGACAGTATGGCTCTCCAGGAGAAGAATGAACTTCCCTGGGCAGTATTTTGTAATGGGTGGATTAACATTTTCAGAGAACTTTCAGAAATGTTTCCTTCATGCATCTTTCAGTAACTCTAATTATGTGCTCTCTCAATCAACTGTTTTGCATACCTGTTCTGTCAAATCTTGAAAGGAGTCTGTAAAAAGAGGCTTGCATTAAAGAAATTAGGCAGCTACACCATGTAAAGTTACAAACCTCCCATGTGCAAAAATTAGTTACCAAAAAATGTTTGGTTTGTTATCTGCTTCCAAGAACCAGTATCATCACTTACCTTTTTCATTAATATATTTAGCTTTTTAAATACTCCTCCAAGCCCAACATCTCAGCAAGAATGCTGGGCTCATCTATCAAAAATAAGAGGATTTGAGGAACTGATGAAGAATTAAAGGACAGTGTGCGAGGCAGCAGAGGAATGGGAATTTGTACTGCATGCAGCCTGCAAAAGAAACTCGGGCCATAGAGCTGCTTAGGAGAGCTGCACACAGAAGGGACAGAAGAAGCCTTTCTTTTCACTGCTGCAGTGTGTGGCACCACTACAAGTCATCAGCTTCCTAGTAATGACTGTTCCCAGTAGTTAAGTGACTGTTTACAGGCAGTTCTGGCACTTTTTTATTATTAACACCTACTACAAATGTGAATGGAGTACTCTGAAAGAAAACACTTAATGAAGAGACAAAGAATTTTTATTTTTATTTTTTTTAATTTCCCGAGTATTTCAGATAGCAGGTGAGATAACACTGAAAGAAAAGTGTAACTACTGAACTCTGGACTCCATGCAGCACGCCTCTGAATGATGCACATTGCCTGAAATATCATCAAAAGTAGGGAAAACATCTGTTTTGACCTATAAACTGCGCGGCAGAAATACTGGAAAAGACTATAAACATTGCTAAATTGTTAGTACAACTTTCTGCACTTACGGTTAAATACATCAAGTTGCTCTTCATTCCATTCCATGTC